ATACATTTAATAGCTTGGTTCGTGAAACAAATCTCTTTGGAAAATTAAAACAATGAATGTAACTGGAACGGAGAAATGTAATGAAAGCCAGGGAGCTTTAAAGTGTTGTAACCAATTTCTCCCTCTTTTATTTTCATTTTCATGTTTTCTATTCTCTATTTAATACTTTACGAAAAGCATGAGAGCCGTTATGATGCCAACGTTCATGTATATTTAAATCTTCGAGCGCAGGATGAGAAGATTCTGGGTTTCATTTGCTATCTTATGTTTGTGATGGCGCCAACACGTCAGGTAGCTTTACGTAGACTGGGCTAGCCGTTATGTGAAAGTTCACGTGCTATGCGTAGGCTCGACGTTAATTATTATTGTTAACGTTATTGGCTCAATCTTGTATTACAACTAAATCACGATGGTCCTCTGCCTGGGTTCAACCAGAAAGACCGCCCTTCTTATGTGTATGTACGCACGGATCACCTTGGATGCCTGCACAACTCCCAGTCCTTATATATTACATGACTGCATAACTAGAGCTGACTATACTTAAATATGCATCCGCTCACAATTATAAATAAATAAATGATCATCCACTTAAGTGAAATCACAAGGCCACTAGTTACCAAAGCACACCTTCGAAATCTGTAGGAACAAGCACCTACAGAAGCGTAGCCGAGTACTGCGGTATTCGAGCCAACCATCTTTTGTTCCAAGTGGCATAAGTGTGCAAGCTATTCGGTCTTTATTTAGGAGACCGATCCGGGTGATGTACCATTGCACCATCCAATCGAAAATATAATCATAGTGTGGCTTCTAATTTCGTAAACGAAGTCGTGGCGCGTATTATCATGTTCGATGTGAAAGATTCCTCCCCAAAAATCGAAGAATTGCACCTCTTGTGATCGTAATTATCCCTATCACTATAATGCCTCTATTGTTGTCTTTCTCAAATTTATCCCAATGAACTGTCTTATCATATCTATGTACCACGACTTTTATCCTACTTTAGGTATTCATACTGTTTAGAGTATGGATTTAAAGGCCAGCTGATACCAGAGACTAAATTATTGAGAGATCTTGTCATTTAAATGAGCATATAATGGGTCTTTTTTTAAATTATTTAATGCGTATTCAGCTATCTAGCTATGACACATGACCGGTGCTATGTATACATGTTGGATGACTCTTTTGACGTTAGAGACACTCATACTCTGGATTTCATTCGCAAATACCACTATGAGATATACTTGCTTACACAAACAGTCGTCCCTCCTCCGTTAGTACTCACCAAAGGGAATTTCAAACCCTTTGATCGTCCAAGCATGCCTTCGTCATCCATGCATGCCAGCGCCGCGAGAGATGTGGTTGTGTTTTGCCGGATTTGAACCAGCGATCTACTGTCTCAAGTGGGATATGTGTCAGCTATCCAGACCTTACTTGGCAGACCGGCCAAGACGATGTACCACCGCACAATCCAACCATGGCGGTGTTTATAGTGTATATATTGTGACGTCAGTGTTGATTACAAAATGCTTTGGTTGTATTCGACCTCGTAGGAGGTAAAAGACCTATATAGTAGGGAATCCCGAGTCATTTTATCACAGGCTGACTTGATCGCTATTTCGAGATTTAACTGAAACTTGCTCTGGAAAAATATCTTCTTTTCAAGCTCGTAGGGGATACCATTGATAAGTATTCGTACTTCTTCCTCCCCGAATAGAAGTCGCACGACTAACGAAAAAGATATTACTTAGATCCTACCGCCTGGCAACTGAGAAAGTGGGATGGTACGGAACTTCGATTGGGGATCATCTACGCTTTTGTTTTGTTTTGTTCATTAACGTGCTAGGTTACATGACTACCGTTGCACTCCTACTGGAGCTTAAGCACAAGTGGGGTTGGGCCGGATTAGGTTAACTACCGCGAAGTATAGACATACCTCGTGCCACTTAAATGACCGTACCACCTCAGACTTCACCTATGTGTTGGGTCATACAAAGCCTAACCGTCAAGAAACCCGCTGTATACACGCCGCAGCGCAATTTCCTCCTCAGCCTCGGCCACCACGCGCCCGAGCCCTTGACATTCTCATTGACTTCGAAATGTAAATGCCGTCCAAGATCTCATCGTTGCTCTAGCCTTGCACCTTCATATCGTACCGTTGGGTTGTTTTCGTCATTGGGGATTTGTGTAATCCCCTCGGTGTATCTTCCCTTTTCTTCCTCCTTTGCACACGTCCCGTTTCCATCATGACTTTCCTCATTAAGGCGTGTTTAGGTATGTACGACGAGTATGGAGGTGGGTCGCAGGTATTGGATCGACTGAGAAATGCTTCGTCGCAAATATAAAAGGAGTTTGAGAGATGTCGGATGTTTGAATACGACTCCCAGACAGACCTAAATCCATTCGTGAATCGTATGTTAGTGGTGATGAGTTTTTTTTCGACGTTGTTCCGGCTGTGAAATCTCTGCCGACTGATTTATCGACAAAAATATCGAGTGCAACTCTTTCAAGTCGAAAGTCCATCAAAAAAATTCATCCCACCCTTTGTCGTGACTGAATCTCGGCTCGGAGAGAATATTCCACTCCCAGGTTCGTAGAGGACACCACTGAGAGATTTTCAGCCTTCGTCCTCCGGGATCATCTACGTGTCGAGCGCAGGAGCAAGGTTGTTCGGGCTAACCCGCATTGCTTTAGCGCCGAAATTCTAGGTCTGACGGCGTAGATTGTTAGCATCCTTCTTCTTGAATTTTTGCATCAGATTTTAATTGCGTGTGCAGCTATCTAGCTATGACACAATATCAAAGAAAAGTACACCATAGATGATTCATCGTAAAGGAAGAGCACTCATGCCTCAGATTTCAATTGCATGTACCACTGCGAAGTTATGGTGGCTCTTTCTTCACCCAAACTCAACCCTCATCCGTGAATACCCACTCAGGGGAACGTCTCAAAAAGCCTGAGTCATTCAGACATGCCTCCATCGTCCATTTACTTTTCTCCGTGCGAAATATGGTCTGAGATGTCTCCTTCCTAAGTGGAGTAGGTGCCCAGGCTACTCAGACTTTACCGGAGAACACCACGTTGGCCTCCTTCAGTTAGTCGGCGCTATCAAGTCTGGCCTTAATAACCGTAATTCCCAGAGAGATCGATGGTTTTTTTAAAATCTATGTACTAAATACAGATCTGAGCTTCGTCTCTTGCTTCCTCTGATGACCAGCTCGGTAGCCATTATTTTGCCTAGTATTTCACTCCATGTTCCGCGAGTCGATTCGCGCCATGAGCCCAAGGTCAAGTTGCCGTCTCACATGCTGAACCGTGTGCACGAAAAGTAGGTCGTACTCAGCTATTCTTCTGAATAATTAAATCTAGTACCAAGAACCGTAAACTGAACTGATATGAACGACTATGTATTCGAAAAGTAGCGTATGCAATGAGGACGATAACTACCAATCATTGAAAGAACTCTTCCATGGCAGATGACAATGCCACCTTTGTCCGAGTTCCTAGTGCCATCTGCATCTTCACTAATGGTTTTTGAGCGCATCCTGTGCTCCTAAGATTTGATAATTAAGCATCAATTCGTCCTGTCTATCCCTAGCCAGATTTAAGCTATCCTCAGCTTTAACACAACTTATGAAAATTATCCCCAAAATATTTGCATGTGTAGCTTCGAGCCCTTTTGGCGAGTCCATGTGTGTGTGTTTGTGTTTATTGTGCTACTTGAGTCTATGACTATCTAGCATATTTGGTTCCTCTCTGACCCAGGCCACACCTTGTACAGTGCTCCTTGCCTCTCATCTTACTCAAAAGATCATTGATGTATTGCCCGTGATGAATATCCATTCAGCTCAGTGTTTACCCGTGGAATTCGGCCACCTTTTCCGCGGAACCTTCTACCCAAAAAAAAAAAAAAAAAAAAAGGTAGCAATGGAGACTGCGTGCGCGGGGAAAAAGTCTCAAAAAACCTGCAGCCCCAGCCAGGCGAGGCCTAGACACCGGGACCACATGAGGTGCGCATATTCATCTATATCTCCCTTCTTTGCATCGGTCGAGGTCGACTTGATCCATTCCGCCATCTCTGTATCGGGTGCTGGGTACGCTCCGAAAACTCATCGGATGGCTTTTCCTCCGTGATCAAGGTTTGGTGATGAGTAGAGCTCCGACCCTACCATCTGATCTGATCGTGGTTAGCTTCATGATAATGGTGATAGGGGAATGTGTTGAGAGATGAAGACGATACAGACCGCGAAAGCGATTGGGAATCCTCTTCGAAGTGAGGACTTTGTCACTCATCTCGGCTCTGCAGACTCTACAGTGAGAGCTGGAGGTTCGTAGGGGACACCGCTGACAGGTGTTGAGAATTGTCCCCCAGCGAGTCCATGTAAATCAACCGTGTATACGAAACTGGACAAGTACTTGGTCAAATAGTGAGAAAATTAAGGCGGATTATTTTATCCGAGAAGTTTATAGATCGAAAATGTACGGTAATGATTGATTACCATCGTCGTCATATGCTGGGTTTGGGAAAGGCCACAATCTACATTAATCTAAAAGAAGTTACGTGCGTAGCCCTATAGAATTACGGTATATTTTTTCTTGATTGTCTTCTTCAATTTAAATAAAAAGAGGATTCCTGTATGATAATGCAAGAAGGGCTAAAACTCAAGTAATTTTTTCGGCCCAGATTTCTTGCCATTACAGGAATAAATACGAGATGCATTGGTATTGTCATTGAGCGCGACGGCTAGGCATGACTATCTGGATGCTTTGCTGGTGGGCCTAATAGAATAGCGTTTGGTAGTGCTCGGTGAGGAAACACTTTGAATACGCCGACTAGTTAGACACCTGGTACTCGACTGTTTTTAGAAATAGTGAGGAATGATTATTTCTAGCTGGGTATACGGAGTGAATCAATTCGTAGGATGTGACTGTTTTAAGAGCAAAGGTCCTCAATTCATCAAGTTCTTCCAAATACTCGAGTTCAAACAATCACTAAAGTTGAACTAGTCTTTTTTGAGCGGTTTATAGACTTCTTCTATACCGTCCTTTGTGATAATCATCATCTGTAGCCCATCTCCAACTTCAATATGTCTCTCTACCGCACTGTCAAATGCGTCTTTAATAAGGTCTTCCACCTCGCTCCTCGGTAGGGGGATAGGCTGCCGTTCTTGTAGCGCATGGCCTTGCCCACTCCCGGGAATATACTGATTCTTGAAATTGACTTGGTTGTCAAGAAAAGGCATAATTAAACTGGCCGCCGCACCAGCTGCCCTGCATTGTTCTCTTTCGTAACTGCCGACCGGATCGTATGAATATACAACACCCTTCCCTTCTTCATCTAGGCCACCAAGGATTGCAGTTACATAAAACGGAAAAAAACGTTTACCATAGAGGATAGTTGATAATCTCTGTGCACATGCTTTAACACTCATTGGCTTGCCGTGTTGATATCGATACATCTTTGCAACAGTATCAAGACGTTCCTTTAGAGCGTTTCCATCAGCGGCAAATCCAACGACAGTCAACACTAAATTGGCGTCATCTTGAGAGGATGTAGAGCCTCCAATCTTGAATACCTTAGGGCAGTATCTAGAGTTAATATTGTAGCCTGAAGTTGACCGCGTGTCGCCAGCAACAATAGAGAAGTCAGCGCCTGCAATCGCTAGAGTCGAGCCACCATTATCTGTGTAGCTAAGTTTGATATTAGGAAAAAAATTATTGATATTGAGTCTTCAGCTTACGGATTGAAACTATGCTGCTTCTCGCCAATGGCCGTCATTGGTGTACACTTAAAAGAGTAGTGTGGATCCTCGATAATAGAATCTTGGCCAATCATTGTAGATACCTCCAATAGTTGAATTAACTGAATATGAGAGACCGTGTGTATTGTAATTAGTGCTCTACTGTTGATAATGGTCTGCTCTATGTAGCTTGCCCATGTGCGAAGGCCTGCGCGCTACTTTAGTTAAGACAGGGGTAGGACAAATAATTTGCTCTAGGTTACATATCGTGTCTATGTCAGTTATTCTAAAAGATGGATAGGCAAGTTCCTTATATAAACTATATACAAATCTAACAGTGAATGCCAGCATATATGGGGGCCTTCGTAGACAATCACTCCAAAAACTAGCTACAATCGCCGCAACTGCACCGCCGTCTAGAATCCAAAGCGATCTTGACCGGCTCTGTCAAGGTTGTTCCCACGATGTTTATTCAGAATCCATTTCGGTCGAGCTTAATAGTACACCGAAACTAGTACCCGGTGTCCATAAACCTATGGTACAATAAAAGTATTCACCCCATGGACCCGAAAGAGCTGACGCTATTAAGACCGTTAGAGAATTTGAGGTTCTTGTTGCTCTCTGCAAAGCGTCTCCAATTCTGAGCGAGAAATATCTGGGCGAAAAGCTAGCACGGCAGCTCTCTCCCTACTTACTAGAAGTCCACGTACAGGAGTTGGAGCCTTCGCCATTTTTCCGTAATATTGAGCCTTCGCCCGGTGAGGTACTCACATCGCATCTTACGACTGCGTTACTTTCACTAGGAATTAACCATAGCTCTTTACAAGAAACTGTTAAGAATAACATATGGGTTTATCTAGACTGTTGTCAGCTCACAGCATCAGATTTGGTTTCTCGTTCAAATAGCCATAATGATATTAAAGACGCAATTGAAATAGCCACTATCACAGTTTCTATTATTGGTTTTCTCGATGCTGCTGCTAGCCATGCGAACTTTTGGAGCTATGAAGATCGCCTATGCCTGATAGAGCGTGTAAAGCTAGTGCTTTCTCAAGATTTCCTTGTGGTGGTTGAAAAATCTTTATCGACTATCCACAATTCTCAGACTCCTAGTTTACAATTACGAGAATGGAAAAGATATGTTCGGCTCTATGCCTCTACCGGACGCCCACTAGGTGCTATGCTTCTTCAAAGATCTTTCGTGTGGTTACTAGTGGCAACAACCTCGCTTCTATCTGTAGAGGTTGACATGCTAGTGGGCAAAGACATACTAGATTTGAGACTTTCTGATAGTTCCCTATTCAAGACCACGTTTCAGATCGGTTCTACTGAAAGCGAGGCAATCGAAACCCTAGCTAATATTGCTTCCGATCAGATAACTCTCCTAGAAGACGAAGCTGATTATCTTCGCCTTGGATCAGTTTGGCAGCAAAGACTTGCATATTCCACCAAGGCAGGTGCATTAATCAGTTACCTGAACTGTATCCTCTATGATGATAATGCTGCAGATGTTGGCAGCTTCATGGCTTGGCTTGAAATTTGTTTAGCAGACCCTATTCAAATGGCCGACAAAACGCTAGCTAGTGTGGTACTACGATCTTTGGCATTGATTTCAAGATCCTTCACTGCATTCGCGCCTAGCGTGAGCCGGATATTGCCTAGGTTTATTATTCAGGGGAGCACCAGTAGCCAGTCAATAGCGGTAGCTTCATCATGTTTGGCTATTGTATTGCAGTTATTATCGCATGATGCTATTATATCTACAATCTATACTCTTGGAAATGTTCTTAGCTCCGGCTGGACGACAGATAGAACGCTTTCTGCCAACCTAAATGCCGAGCTAGGTCTCGATGGGAATGGAAATAATTTTCTTTACGAGGAAAAGCATCCCTCCATTAGCTCTATAGTCCTTGCTGCCAATACGGAGGAAGAATCATTGATGATTTATGGAAATATTGTCAAGGCTATTTGTAGTATCGCAATTGCGTGTAATGACTCCAAAATCACGGCTCTAGCTCAGTCGATGCTCTTGCAAAAAATTGACAAAGTCAACAAGTCCATAGACGCGCGAATAATAACAGAGGCATCTGGCCTGGCGCTAAGCGGCGGACCTTTGGAGTTCCGATCTCTTCTCAAATTATACGCTAAAATGACTACAGAGGGAATAAATCAGAAAAATGACGCTCTACTACTAGCGGTAAGTAAATTATACCTAAATTCGAGGCTAACCATACTCAATAAATTTAGATTTTAAAAGGAAGAGACTATTTGTCAACAAGTTTACACAGAGACTCACCACTATTCGACATCTACCTAAGACATTTACTAGAAGCAATCATCAGCAAAGGTGACTTGCATCAAGTGGAGAGTACTCGTGAGGCAGACGTCGAGTTTGCAGCTCGAGAAATTGAGCAGCTACTAAATCCATTAGCAATTCTGATGTCAAACTCTGACCTAGCCTCACTAGAAGATCTAGATGAAGACATTTTTTCATTGATTCGAGATTCATGGTTCAATATCGTCGTGCACGGGTTTGTGATGAATACTGAAAGAGGAACTAAATATTTAAAAGAGTTGCGCCTTATGGCTATGCATTCCAAACCTCTTGTTGCTGAGCAACGAGGTGAGCAGGTCGAGAGTGATATTGAGCTAAACACCGTTCTTCGCCGAGGTGGTAGTTCTGAATACGAATCTAGGCAGAAACGTCGACTTTCGTCTTTGCTACCCTCTAGGGTGACAGAAATACGTGGATTAAGCTACTCCAAAGTTATTTTTTTGCATGCTGCATATTTAGTTGAAATCCTACGAGCAGGAACTGGAGACTGTACAAAAGCTCTAACCTACTTCCTTGAACCTAGCATGCGAAAAGGCGATATGAGTATAACCATGGAGTCAATCACTAGTGCAGTGATGGACGTATATTTAAATATGACACTGGCAGGCACAAATTCTTTGTTTCTAGCCCCTTGTGTATCGAAGCAGCTAGCCTCCATATTTGGTGATTGTTGCTATCGGATCGATCGAGTCCAGCAGGCAGCTGTGAATTGTGCAGATCGAATTATGCGCGACGTACCTTCTGCCCTATGCCATAGATATTCTCTATTTGCTCTCCTCGATCTACTGACACTAATGTGGATCAGCTGTCTAGAAGCGGAAACAGATGAATACGAATGCAAATCTTCCTTCACCTCGAGTCGTAGTAATATTACCATCGAACTTTCAGACGATTTCAGGCTGCGTCGACAGACTTTAGACAATCTATACAAGAGAGCTAAAACTTGGGTCACAAATGTGATTAATCTTGCGCCATTAGACGTCAAAGGCCTTCTGCAAACATACCTATCTGAGTACGACAATGACGAAGTATACGATCAAATATCTCTTGGTAGGTCATTTGCAATCGAAATGGGGGCATTCATTCCTAGCACGGATCAGAAACTCGTGGCCATAGACCGCGTTGGTGATTGCAATATTAATACTGCATCAGAGTTCATCGCCCAGTACACCACCCGGCAGGAATATCGGTATTCAAATATTCTTCCAAATCACGATGCATCATGGTTAAAGTCAGCTGGTCTTGGCCACCGTAGAAAATTTACTTTGTCAAGAGACTTCGATTTTGAAAATGCAATCACTGTTCTTTCACGTTTAGAAATTCAAATTCAAGAGCAGGAATCTATCTCTCTTGTAGAAATACGTGATATCCTGCGACGAGCCGCGACATTACTCTACAGAAACTGTGGTAACGGATGTGCAATAGTTTATTACCTTGTTAGCATCCCATTTTCGCTCTTCACTGAAGAGTCTATCAAGCTTGGCATATCTCTTTGGCTTGGGGTCATGAATGAAAACCCTCAAATAGAATCACGCATTCTGACAGAAATCGCCCAAAACTGGGAGACGAGTATACACAAACGACTCGGGGCTTTCAAGTCTAGCTTTTTACATATAGATCCATTTTGTGACAAGGTTGAATTTGCTCCAAGTGATCGAACTCTACTTTCAAGGAAGGCGAAGATAGCTCAGAGTTTACTTGCGCCTCACGTAAGATTAACACAGTTTCTGGGCAGCCATTTTAACGCGACTCGGCTTGGAAGTCCGCATACAGAAAGAGTATTTTTGCGAATATTGGATGTTACCCTCGACGGACTGACGCATGCCACAGCTCACCCACTTGCGAGGGAAGCTAGATTTCAAATAATTCTTTTTGGCCTGAAAGTTTTACGACACTGTATTGGACTTGATCGAAACGCCAAGTATGATCTTAAGAACAAGATCCTCTCATCAGCACTATTATGGTTCAGTTTTGCCCCATGTTGGTCTTTTGGCGGCAACCGACTTCAACTCAAAGCCGAAAGCCGCTTACTAACGGATGTTGCTGCAGCATTACGTACGGTTGAGCTCAAGAGTGATGCAGCATCAGCATCGCTTTTAAAAGTGATTCAGTCAAAAGAAGCCCTTCTTCACGCATTGATTGAAAGTGAAAAATTAAGGATTGGTGTCTGGCTACACCCCTTAAACTATACTCAGAACGGCCAGACACTGACCTATGCAAGTAAAGGAGTTTCTGAGGTGAATACACGAAGATGAATTTTTATCGCCACTGACAAAATCTAGGCAAATCTGTTGGGACTAGTAAGGACGGCTTGGGCTGAAAGTCCAGCTCTAGCTATTCAGCTTGCTACTAGATTTCCTTCGACCAAGCTTCATAAAGAAGTTCGATGGATACTACTAAACTTTCCTGAAAGGGCTATTTCGGACCCAAATGCAGTCCATATTCTTTTAGGAACCACATTTCCTGACGATGTCTCATCTCAACTCAAGGTATAGAAATAAACTCTATATTATTAACTTGCTGATGAAGTATAGTACCTGCTCTATTGGGCTCCGGTCAATCCCATAACTGCTATCACTTATTTTCTGCCAGCATATCGCAATGACCCATACATAATACAGTACGCAATGAGAGCACTGGAAAGTCATCCCATTGACGTTACATTCTTCTATGTACCCCAGATCGTGCAAATTCTACGGTATGACAATTTAGGTTATATAGAAAGGTATATAGTTGAAACAGCCCAGCTATCTCAGCTCTTTGCGCATCAAATAATTTGGAACATGAAGGCAAATGAGTTCAAAGACGAAGAGTCTCAGATTGTAAGTACTTGAGGAAGAAAGGAAAAGTTTGAATTTTCGTGCTACTAATTGAAGTTTAGCCTGATCCACTCAAACCAACCCTTGAAAAAGTAATGAATCGAATGATTTCTGAGTTCTCTATCATTGATAAATCTTTCTATGAAAGAGAATTTGCATTTTTTGACAAAGTCACAAGCATATCTGGGAAGTTGAAACCATTCATCAAACGACCAAAGCCGGAAAAAAAACAAAAGATTGAAGAAGAATTAAGAAAAATACAAGTAGAAGTCGGAGTTTATTTACCAAGTAATCCTGATGGCGTTGTGATTGGTATTGACAGAAAATCTGGTAAACCATTGCAAAGCCACGCAAAAGCTCCTTTTATGGCAACATTCAGGATTAGAAAAACTTTACTAAACAATGAAGAAACAGCGGCAATATTAGATAATGTGCAAGCAGAGACCAAACCAGCCCATGAGAATACTATCGAAATTTGGCAATCCGCAATTTTTAAGGTAGGAGATGACTGTCGCCAAGATGTTCTCGCGCTGCAAATGATTGCAGCGTTTAGGGGAATATTTAACAATGTCGGACTCGATGTTTACGTTTTTCCCTATAGAGTTACTGCAACAGCACCTGGCTGTGGCGTTATTGATGTTCTTCCAAACTCCATCTCACGAGACATGCTAGGGCGAGAAGCCGTAAATGGACTGTATGATTACTTTGTTTCAAAATATGGCAACGAAGATTCATTGCGATTTCAAGAGGCTCGAAGTAATTTCATTAAAAGCATGGCAGCATATTCCATCATCTCTTTTCTACTACAATTTAAAGACCGGCATAATGGAAATATCATGATTGATGATGCTGGACATATATTGCACATAGATTTTGGATTTTGCTTTGATATTGCACCTGGTGGGGTTAAATTTGAAAGGGCCCCATTCAAGCTAACATCTGAAATGCTGGCTGTCATGGGCGGAAATACTGAACATCAGGCGTTCAAATGGTTTGAAGAGCTCTGTGTAAAAGCTTTTTTGGCATCTCGTCAACACGCCGAGAAGCTTTCTCAGCTTGTGCTCGTAATGTTGGGATCGGGCCTGCCTTGTTTTAAGCCTGAAACTATCAAAAATTTCAGGGACCGATTTGTCCTTGAGAAGACTGAACGAGAAGCGGCTGAATTCATGAAGGGACTAATCAAAACAAGCTACAAGAGCTATTCTACAGGCGTTTATGATCAATTCCAATTACTCACCAACGGTATTCCGTACTGAAAATAAAATAACGGCTTCTTCGGGCAGGTCCTTGGAGGTCTTCAAAAATTTCTTAGTAATTTAGCCCTCTACATAATATTACACTCCTAAATTCTCAGAGTAAATTTATTCAGCTAGGAGCTATTTTTAGCTAATTTCTACGCGAGGGTATAAAAATAACATCATGCGTATTTAAAGCATCTACCGATCAAGACTCTGAAAAAGTTTTTGCCTAGAACATTAGAGGAAGAAGGCTTAGCTAATACTATTCTCACAGTGTCAAATTACCCTTCAATCTAAGATAGTGTAAAGAATTATCATTTTACCATAAGAGGAAATGGTCAAAGACAGAAGATTATTCCAGATCGTGGAAAGTATTTCTCAAGAGACCGAGGCCTAGTGAGGAATTGTATTGTAAGACCTTCAAAATATTTTTGATTTATACTAAGCAATGAATTTTTGAGCAAAACAAAATCTCGAGAATAGAAATAATAAGCATAATATTAATCTGATGAGTTATATGAAATGTAAATCTGATCAAGTTATTACCTTGAAGCCCCTAGTTTAGCTTCTAGAGGAGAGCCAGAAACAATTTTCAAGATTCAATTTACTCTTCATTGCATTCATCACCTTAATATTCATTCCATCCTAGCTCTCTATCGGGAGGCTATAGCTATCGGTTTGAATAACTTAACTACCTCTCTAGCTTGATCCTTTTAGAGGGCTCATTTCTCTTTCTACTTTCTTCACTGTATTGACGGATCAAATGTCAGCTCCACGAAGTAGATAAATGCATCATGTCATATAGAGAAATGATTCATTGATTGATGTTGTTCAAACAATCATGGCAATCTTGGTGATAGGAGAAACATCATTGACTAGTTACTAGAAACCTAGTCAACATCTTTAACACACAACTGAGACGAGAGGAAATTCACGGAGCAAGTAAATTTTCTAGTAAATCTAGATCTGGAGGTAATTAGTTTGGTTGCTTGACTCTGGCGTTATATGGGCCTGAACATACCATGTGTAATAAAATATACAGAAATCTATCTGAATTTCGATCATTATCTAAATTCATGTCACCATCTATAGCTACAAAGGACAGTATTACCACTCCCTGATACATCATGATTTGGAGAAGCGACTCGAATTTTCGTTAAGTGAAGAGTGGTGAGTTACTCGTCTCAAGTACCACAGCAAGCAGAAATCAAATGGGATTATTGGTGTATATGCAATCGAAGTGAGTTGAGATTGTAACCATCTCAGTGACAGATTACCATAAGTAGGCGCCTCATGTGCAATTATTACAATCATCTGACGACAAAGACTGGACATCTGCCAGCGGCTCCTTTGAACTTCGGGGGAAAATTATTTCTGAGCATACAACACACATTTCATAGTAAAAAGTCGGCCCACACGGTAATGTCCGAAGAGTTCCAGCCACGCCGCTTCTTCACTCCCAAAAAACCCATTCCGACAAAAGCGTCATTGAGCATTCAAGTAGAGCCTGAAACATACTGAATTCTGCTACCATACTACTAGTGGACTCGGCTTCTGGTTTCTACCAGGTTCCTAGTATAGGCTATAACTATTTTGACAATCCGCCGGGAAATAAAATTCGTGGCACCTATATCTGACGTGGAAAATGTTGGGGATAGACGTGGGGAGCACCAGGACATATGGGAAAGATAACGTTGCGGACGGACAAAATCATGCTAGCTGTGGAATTTAGAAACGAAAGAAATTTTACTTTGAAGAGAATTATCCGCTTCATGATTTGGATTGCAGAGATTTATATTAACACGACCATGGTTTGGTGGTAATGATTTACGTCGTCCAGGCCGGTCCACACACAAGAGATCGAATGGCCTATACACTTAACCCACTTGGGATAAGAACCTCTAGCTCGAATCCAGCAATACATGACCACGTATCTTATAGTTCTCGTGCCCATATATGAATCAGAGCTATTCAAAGTATCCTTACTGGAATATGATTCAAAATTTCGCGTACTTATCTTAGGTATGAAATTCCTCTAGATGCTATCAGTCTTGAAAATAGTTTGCGCCCGGTCTTTTCTATAGCTATGATTTTTTCTGACAATATTTGACCAGCTGCGCTCTATCCTGTCAAAAAATGTGAATACTTCAAATATGACTATGCGTTTGGATTAGCTCTAGTCAGCAATTTCAAACTTAATTGTCTTATGTTACTGGTAACTTTTCTAATTATTCGTGGTGTATTACCTGAATATTTATTCGTGACGTGCAAAAGTCTAGCTCTCATGGAGTTTGACACGGAGAAGGCTAGTCCTTACCCGACGACAATACACGACGATAACTCAATTTGAAATTTGGATTACTCATGTAGTGGGTGTATTCGCTGATACTACCTGAGACTTATTTGCTAGGGACCCTCGAAAAATGTGCGTCCCTGCATGCCCATTTGTGATCTCTTCACTGGTTCATCCCACGTCCCAGCTGCCTATCCTCCCTCATGAAGTGAAGTGCTATTAGAGCAACGGTCCCCCATAAACTAAGATCCGAGCTTTGTATGTTATAACTTAGTTTCCTCCTCGCGGGTATTCGTAGCTTCGTAAATTTGTAGTAGGAGATGGCCGGTAATGAATGAGGCAAGGTCCTGTTTGCAATTGTAGTAGCGCCATTATCGGTATTTTAGGCGAGATGATGTGTGTTAAGAAAAAGGGTGGGATTCCGAGGAGAATAGTAAGTACTACATGATTAAGAAGTCATCAAATGAAGATCTGTTTTTTTTAAATCATTTAATGTGTATTCAGCTGTCTAGCTTTGACACGTGACCGGTGCTATGTTTATTTATTGAGTGACTCTTTTGACGTTAGAGACACTCATACCCTCGATTTCATTCGCAAATACCACTAAGAGATATGTTCGCTTATACAAACAATCGACCCTCATCCTTGAGTACCCACCAAAGGGAATTTAAAGACCTTTAATCACCCAAGCATGCCTTCGCCATAAGAGTGCAGCTGACACTATAAACACAAGCCGACGATGGAAGGTGCCGTGGTCCGCCTCCTGGTGGTATTCTCTGGTAAAGTTTTAGTAGCCTGGGCACCTACTCCACTTGTGAAAGAGACACCTCAGATCACATATCGCGCGGAGAAAAGTTGAAAGATGATGGAGGCATGTCTTGATAACTCAGGGTTTTTGAGACGTTCCCCTGAGTGGGTATTCACGGACGAGGGTTGACTTGGGGTGAAGAAAAAGCTACCATAACTTCGCAGTGATACTTGCAAATGAAAGCTGAGGCGTGAGCACTCTTCTTGTAAATTGAGTCATCTTTTCTGAACTTATCTTTGATATTGTGTCATAGCTAGATGGCTGCATACGCAATTAAAATCTAATGCAGTAAAAAAAAGCCTTCGTCATCCATATATACCAGTGCCGCGGGGTTGGATGATGTAGTGGTACGCCATTCAGGCTGTTCTCCCAAGTAGATACTGGGTAGCTTGAACACCTACCCTATTTGAGATAGGAGAAGGCTGGTTCAAATCCAGTAAGACCCACACACCACACTCTCTCGCGCTGATATTGTACTTGTGGGATGATGGAAGCACACTCGGATAGGCACAGTTTTTTCACGCTTTTCCCTATGGTGGGTATGCAGGGAAGAGGTTATACGCCGTGAGGGTAAACCTCGAGTAGTATCTGCAAATGAAATCTGAGTGTGAGTGTTCTAAACGTCAAATTGAGTCATCATACTTAAAGCTCATATCTTCCGATATAAACCTGCATAGACCTCAAGGCGTCAAATTAGGATAATGAATTATTTATCTATTTATACCTGTGCCGCGAGAAATGTGGTTGTGCTTTGCCGGATTTGAACTAGCGATCTTTTGTCTCAAGTGGAGTATGTACCAAAGCTTTCCAGACTTTACTTGGCAAACTAGCTTAGACGGTGTACTACCACACCATCCAACCATGGCAGCATTTAGAGTGTCACATGTTTGGATCGCGTCATGTGATGTAAGCGAGCTATCACTAAATATCATCACTATTAAGATAACAGAGTTCCAAGTTATTGAGGTTGCAGAGTGCATTGATTCAAGTAGCTACCGAAAGCCACCATAACTTCGCAGTGGTACTTGCAAATGAAATCTGAGGCATGAGTGCTCTTCCTTAACGATGAATCATCTATTCTGTACTTTTCTTTGATATTGTGTCATAGCTAGATAGCTGCATACGCAATTAAAATCTGATGCAAAAAAAAAAAAAAAAAAAAAAGTAGCTACCGAAGTGAAACTACTTACAGAACATGTGGTCACTTGTATATCAACGACCCGGCATACTTGATAGCCCCAATTATTATAAATTCTAACAATCATCATATGTAAAAACATCATTTTTCACGAAAAGCGGCACCACGTTCCACGAACGTTATTTCATCGTTTTTATTGTTACATTCTTCTTAATCAATCTCACTTACCTGATTCCCTGAATTTTTTTCGTTGCGCTTCGGCATGGCGAGATGGGGTGCCAGAAAGGTGGATTTTGCGGTTGACAAAATTTTCACGGCACCATAACAATCACCAACGGATAGCGGAACGGCCGCAATTACGGCTGTAGAGTCTCTCGCGATCTCTACAGGCGTTAACATGGACACATTAATGACAGTAGGGCCTTATCTAAGTAAGGTCAGAGACAGACTGGTGATAGTAGGCACTGACAAACCTGCGGCACCGATGGTCTAAGTAGTTGAGGCACTCGATGCCTTCAAAGCCCACGCTTCTATGTTACAATCGAAGCTGAAGGATTCACGAAAAGAAGAACGAATGCTGGCCTTGGAGAAGGCAGTCAAGAAGAATCTCGAGGAGCCGTCGCACAAGATAGCTACTTCGGCAGTACAAGGGATGGGAGGAAGACCCACATACGCCTCAATCGTCGCGCCGCCAGCGACTAAAGCGGCTGTACGAATATGGATACAAGGAGCAGAAAATATGGAGCCGGCAGCGCTCCTAGACAAGGCGAAAATACACATTGATGGGGCATACTCAGTAAGGAAGCTGCGGAGCAATGATACGGAGGTGTTTGTGGAGTCGGTCTCCCAGCGAGATGTTGCCTTGAGTATGGCGCAGCCAAAAGAGTTCTGCGTCCTAAAGCAGGACCATCTTGTTGAGGTTTTGGGATCCCATTGGGGATATTCGTAAGAGGAGGAAAAAATACTAATAACGGCGAATTTACAAATCAAGTCGTGGCTGAAACCAAAGTTCGGATCCCCGAACTAAAAATAAACAGGGTGAGATGGCTATTTGACGGAAAGGAGCACCGATGTATGGGAGCTAACGGCCATACTGGAGGGTCAATCGTCGCGAGTTTGCCGGCAGAGGCACTTCAACGTGAAGTGATAAGAAACGGCATTATATACAACTCAATGCTGTACACTGTCCAGCTCTGGTCACCCCGAGTGCAAATCAAGCAGTACTTCAATTGCTGTCAATGGGGGCATACCCAAGCCACGTGCAATAGGGTAAGGAGATGTGGTGAGTGCGCAGGCACTCACCAGACCAGGGAATGCCCGAGGAAATTGGTGCTTTGTTGCAACTGCGGCGAGGACCATAAATCGTGACAGAAGGAGGCGTGTCAAAACTTTGCGTTATACAAGGCCAGCGTGCAACGGGCACGGTATGAACTCAAAGAGAGAACGGCGGAATTCAGGAAATGAGAAATATCAACTACGGCAAAACCTACAGAGGACCAAGGGTTCACACTGATATCCCACCAAAAGCCGGAGGTACAAAAGAGAGGGCCAGGACGCCCGCGCAAACAGCTCTTGGTCAACCCACCACCACAACTATTTGCACCATCGGGGTCAAACTCAAGGCCACAGTCATCACTTTTCAGCACGCGAGGGCATGGAAGGATGGCGAGGTACAATACAATTTCAGCTAGTCCTGTCTCAGGCTAAAGGCCAATTGCACTTCCTGTAGGTAACGAAGGACTACAGATATAAATACTTTATAGGGGGAGGGGTTTTTTATCGTAATGGTTTCCCCCTAATGTAATTACATAGATAGGTTCATAGCCGCCTGCATGGTCCCACAGGGCGTCAAGTCGGGTTAAATGAAGTTAAATTCAAAAACAATCATCATATTTCAGGTATTTTTTTTGTGTATAGTGTGCTACTTGAGTCAATGACAATCTAGCACAATATTTCAGGTATTAGATATGTGTAGATATATAAGCCGAGAAAAAAGAGGAAGAACGCAGCTAACATGATTGTAAATTTGACGGTTCCATTCATTGAAAATATAAGAGACTCTCTGATACTTCAATTACAGTCAGACCGATCTAACTCACCTGCATCAGCCTTTCAAATCAATGGGCATTAGTCACTCAGTAAATTATCATACTTGAACAATTAAACAATTATTATGTGTTGATTTTTCGACAGAATAAATTTATATCCCTCAAATTCAGAGTTAAGACCAATTCCTTCATTAACTCTAAGCACTGAGGTCCTTGCATTCTTTGAAGTCCTTTCCGTCACGCATTATTAAGCCCATCACATTGAAGTCAGGATCGGTAACTAAAAATTCCTTCACATCTTGCTCTTTTTCCAGGGTCAGCAGATGATTTCAAAGTCGAAAGGAGATCATTCTCACGTCCAATGTAGGTCGAGCCATCTGGAAAGATTGGGAATATTTGGCGATCTGTTGACTCAACATTGGTTGATTCGAAAGACTGGGGATAAACGTGGCCCTCTCTTACGGAGTTAGCCCGTGAACTTTTAAGCGCTTCGGCAACAGTGTCGGATGTGAAAATATCGCCGTCACAATTATATCTATTCGTGACGCTGGATTCACGAACTAGCACAGCTGAATAGACCGACGTTGAAAAATTCAATAGTATTGCAAGGCTCGCAACTTTGAGGAACTTCATGTTGGTCGAGTTTATATAACTATTTTCCCTGATCGTGGGCGCAAAGATTGTCTTTGGCCGGCCTATTATGTTTTCCGGAAACGAAGAGGATAAGAGAGGATGCGACTAACGGTAAAGTTGATCTGGAAGAAACTTTTTACAGGATGATGATTAAAAGAGAGTAAGTAGATTGATGAGGGAGAATAAACTTTATAATGGTACTGCTTGGTTTGGTAGGCTAGAATAACAGCGGGTGACTACGGCTCCATCACATGATTCTAGCCATGACGAGGAAATAGTGACGTTTCTTTTTTATTTGACGTCGTGCTAGAACGATGTAATGACGTGAGAGTGTTCTGGTCTTCGCCGTGAGAACCGTCCACGTGTAGCGGCAATAAAAGCGGTGATTCCGATTGCCAATGATCCGAGTCTCGGTCACGACAAAGTGTGTGTGTAAGAATTATGCCGAGGCCTTGATCTACAGACGGGAGAGAGAAAGAGGTATGGTTATTGGACTACTTGAGCCTTGGACTATCTAGAACATTGAGCTCCTCTCTAGCCAAGGCCACACCTTACACAGTGCTCCTTGTCTCTTTTTTTACTTGAAAGATCATTGACATATTGCCCGTGATGACAAGCTACTCAGCTCAGTGTTTACCCGTGGAATTCGGCCACATTTTCCACGCAACCTTCTACCCAAAAAAAAAATGGTAGCAATGGCAACTGCGTGCGCGGGAAAAAGTCTCAAAAAACCTGCAGCCCCAGCCAGGCGAGGCCTAGACACCGGGACCACATGAGACGCGCATATTCATCTATGTCTCCCTTCTTTGCATCAGTCGAGGTCGGCTTGATCCATTCCGCCATCTCTGTATCGGGTGCTGGGTACGCTCCGAAAACTCATCGGATGGCTTTTCCTCCGTGATCAAGGTTTGGTGATGAGTAGAGCTCCGACCCTACCATCTGATCTGATCGTGGTTAGCTTCATGATAATGGTGATAGGGGAATGTGTTGAGAGATGAAGACGATACAGACCGCGCAAGCGATTTGGAATCCTCGTTAAAGTGGGAGGTTAGATGTTTGGGAGACTAATGACCTCCAACCCCAGTCAACAAGGTCCAGGTAAGGAATTAGAACCCATGCAAGTTGAGCGTAAACTCCTTTTAACAGCGAGCCTCATCATCTCCAACCGTGGAGGTCAGACAGCAAGCGTATATACTTTACCAATGGTTTGGAGATATAATAAGACCTTCCCTCTAGAATTAATTAGTCTCTCTCGTATGTTAAAAATAGATAGTATTCGGACTTCATACCCTTGCTTCATCGTGTTGTCGTAGCCCTTCACACACTGGATGTGCAGAAACTTGTAATCTACATCATTTTGACACCAAATTCGAACCGAAAATAGGCTTAAATCTGTCTTATTTTCGTATTGAAACAATTGACCATCTTCGCTGGCAATTTTGTCTCTCGATTCATTCCACACCTATATTAATAGCCGCCGACGCTCTCCGAAAATTCAACCATCACTTTTCAAGGTGGATGAGCTTATCTAATCGTCAGCAAATCGTGCGCGTTGTTTCCAGGGATAAGCAGTAGGGGATTTTTAATTTGTTTTATTTTTGACGCAGTCTATGTGATGATAGGCTATTAGGGTAGTGCTTGATCTTGGTAAGCTAGGCAGTGAGTGTGGATGCAAGGGTTTAGAAAGGTAAAGGTATGTTTGTTTGTTCATTAACGTGCTAGGTGAAGTAACTACCGTCGCACTCCTACTGGAGCTTGAGCACGAGTGGCGTCGGGCCGGATCAGGTTAACTACCGTAAAGTACAAGTGCCTCGTCCCACCTCAATGACCGGAACCATGCCGAAACGCATCTATGTGTTGAAGCATGACGAGTACAGCAGCCTAGAGGTTGAAAACAAAACAAAAGAAAACTTCCACGCAAAGTCCTGCATTACAAAAGAAAAACTTTGACAATCTCCCTTCCATCGTTCCGCCTCGGCCACCACGCGCCCGAGCCTCGATTCCTATCCCTACTTCCATGCCAGATCACCTAGGCTTTCGTTCATCACCTCCGAGTCACAGGTATCCCTGCCATCCCCCGGCTAGCCTCCGCGTATATTCCGCTCTCCTGGACGTAGTCCCTGAACAGTTGCCACCCTCTTGATCCGAGCATTGTTTCTATAGCTGGCGCCCTTCGCTTTCCGCTTTTCAGCCGCCATGTTGCCAGTGCTTTTCGACACTGAACAAGATGACCGATTGATTTTTCCCTCCCACACTCGCAGTGAAGTGTAGCGTCAGTGTGGTTGAACCGGCGATGATAAGCCGCGAAGTCTCCATGTCCAGTTCGAGCGGCTATTAAGCGAGCGTAGACTGCCCTTGGTAGTGCTAGTTCTGGCGGTTTCTTGCGTCGCATCTCGAGTTCGAGGTCGGCATAATGTCTGGGGCGATTCGAATGCCACCAGTCTGTAACCATCTGCCTGGCCAGTTCGCGAGCTTTCCTTCTGGAAGAGGCGAGGGTCATCACCCCATGTGTCGTCCTCGTATCGTCCGACGAGTTAAGCTCTCTTCGATCGAGCTCATCAGCCATTTCATTTCCTACCAGCCCTTCGTGGCCCGGAATCCATCCTACTTTAACAGGTGCTGCTGCTCTAGCGGCCATTTTGCAGAACTTTTGAATCCTCCAGGATGATGAGCCTGTTGTTCCAGTTAGTAAGGCCTGGACAGCCGCAGAATTGTCGAGCAGAATATAGATGGCGCTACGACCACGATCTCGCTTCCTGCTAGTGATTGCTTCAAGAGCAGCTAGAGCTCCATGAACCTCCGCGTCGTAGACCTCCGCATTGGTTATTTTGCCTGAGCCGCTTTGCTCAATTACCCTGCCTGTGCCACTGATAAAAGTCACAAAGGCCCATGACACTTTGTCGGTGGACGCCCCAGAGCCATCACTGTACACGCAAAGACAGTCGGGTGGGAGAGTAGGTAGCCACTCTCTTATAAACCTAGCTGCTTCTTTCTTGCTTGTCCAGTAGGGAATTGGCTGAGGGGGGGCTGGAGGTCGGAGCGGTGAAGGTAGTTCGGCCTCTGGCAGGAGTCGATACATCCTCTGGACCCTTGAATCGTGCACTCTGTCGAAACCAAGTCTGGTTTTGTTGCATGTCTTTAGGCCGAGTCGGTGACGAGCGCTGTCTGTGTCCGTGGCCCGAAGTCGAAGCGAATGGTACTCATCCAGTGTCCAGATTCGTGCGGCAGTCTTGAGCCTGCGTTCCTCGAGCAGAATTTGTGCTGGCGGAATACCAGTCTCTCTTCTCAGGGCTGCAATAGGCATCATGCGCCAGGTTGGTAGAACCACGCGGATTCTGAAGGCAGAGGTTTGGTCGATGACTTTGCTCTATCTCTTGTAGGAATTACGCGTCACACCTCCATAAGTTTCCCTGGTTGACCCCGGGCACCAGACCTCCGCTGCATGCATCGCGATTGGCAGAACTACCGTACGAATGACTGTGGTTAGTAAGTCAGGCCTTGGTCCCTGGCTGCAAAGTGTAAGCCGTCGGAAGTGCTGCACTAGCCGCATTGCTTTGCTGGTCCACTTTGCGACGTGACTTTCGAAGGTCAGACCGCGATCAAGGTGTACTCCGAGCCATCGGATGTCGTCGGATGCTTGTACATCGCGAGTGCCTACCCTTATGGCCGGAAGATCGTGTCCCCTGGATCTGGGGCCGACGAAGTAGACTACTTAGGCCTTATCTGGGTCGAGAGAGACGGCATTATCAGCAGCCCACCCTAGGACTGCATCGACTTCTCTCTGGACAGCTACTGCGGCTTCAGTTGGAGTTGAACCTATGCCGAGGATGGCAACATCATCTGCATAGCCAAATCTCCAACTACTGCCTCCCACGACTTCGGCCATGTAGAGAAAGGTAAAGGTAGTCTGGTAGTAAACAAGTAGTGACCACATAGCCTCCCGTGCTGAAGCGCTAGTGCAATATCCGGTATATAGTCTGGTTGGCGTGGAGGAGTTCTTTTGTCACGCAACGTCTTTTTACATTTTGTTCACATATTGTACTACTTCACATTTCCCCTCCTTACAGAAGACCACTTCAGTGCTGTCCTGTAATCATACTCTATATCCCTTCGTGCCCTACGGAACGTTGGTAGTAAGCTCCTTGAGATTTGTGGACGTAAGGGCTCTCCTTTTGTCTAGGTTCCCGGCACGATCTTGTCTGTATTTAAGAGGTTGGAAGGGGAAGTATGGTACCAGTTGAGGCTATTTATTAGATACATGAGCAGCTGTATGGCGTGGGCACAAGGTGGTAACTGGGGGGTTTTCTATGCCTAGATGGCGCCACACTTGTTTATGCTTTGCCTTTTTTTTAATCATTTAAATGTATTCAGATATGGAGCTATGACGATCATTTAAAACACACACGTGTACTTGGGAAAATGGCCCGAAAGGTATACCACTGCACCATCCGACCCTAACACTTACATTTGTAATTGTGGCGCACGCTTCCCACAGTTTTAGCTGCAATCCGAACACTACACTCCTTTAGTCAAGTTCTACTTTCGTTCCATAAATGTAGCGTCAATTTCATTGAGCGATATTTCCCACACATTATCTAATAGCACCACCGACCTTACCTACAATAAGGTGTCATCGTCTAAAAAGGTAAGAAATCTTTCTAGTTGATCAGCCCACTTTCAAGGATATGATCGCGAGTAATACGCATATGAGTTATATTTGAAATTGAAATTGAAATCTTTTACGTGACGGGAAGAACCTTACATCTATTTAGACATGACACGGATAGATTGGATCTGAGAGCTCATTGCTACCTACATGGCCGGCGTTAAAGCCAGAAGCGATAAAAGAAGTAAGAAGGAACAATTTTTTAATTCATTTTATTGTCCTGTCTGAGTCTATGACTATGTAGGACATGCAGGTCCTCTCTACCTACAGGCCAAGGATACCTATACCAGTAGTATATTCCCTCCTTTGCCTCCCACACAGCTCCCCTCAAACA